TGAGTTAAGAAGAAAGTTGTATGCGTGAGCATACAATTTAAATTAATTACAATTTAATTTAGCTTCAAAAACAAAACTCCAAAATTTTCTCAGTGGGCCACAAGATTTGATAGCTGCTATATAGTGTGTTAAAATATGAAATTTCGGTTTTAGGGATTGACCAAAAAGTTGTATGGAAATTTATTATGTGATTCAATTTTGCTGTCCAAAAAACATATATATAGATCATTTAGTTCGAAGGCTAAGATGTTGTCAATAATTTCAATCAATAATAACATAAAATGCCAAACTTCGTATTCGTGTAGCACCATATCGCCAATCATAATTGGGAAATTCAAAACAAATGTCAACATTTCCGCTGCAGAAAATTTCAAGTGATTTTTTTTTTAATGTTGAGCAGTTATCTGGGGAGGTATATTTTTACAATCTTGCTCTCCATATTCAAAAGTTTTTATTCTTCTGTTTAATGCAGATAAACTGAAGAATTTAATTTTTTCTGTAAAATATATTATTGCACAACACAAGTCATAGTGGCAGATGTCTTCCATTATATCATGCATAACATTAACTGCGAAGTTGTCAACTACATGAAAGGAAGGAATTCTATGAAAAACACATAATTCGGTAACCCCATTATCTTTGTTGCTTGCAATTATGGCGTAGTTTGAATGATTCCTTAGTAGACCAGACCGTGCCAAACATAGACCCTTAGTTAATTTTTTATCTGCCGTACAAAATCTACAAAAAGTTCCATTGAAAGATTTACTAAAACCTAAGACAGAATTAAGGCCCACATTATCGCCAAGGATTAACGCTAGTATGAATTGTACATTGTAGGTTTGACCATTTGTTTGATTTACCTAAATTCCTTCTTTTTCGGGAAAAACTAGTTGATCAATTAAGCTTTCTAAGCATTTGTCATTTCCAAACTCTTTCAAATCCTTTGATTTAACAACGGTAGCCAAAAATACACGTTTTTGCTTTGTATCATTTAAGGGCAAGCATGGAAATGAATAGTAAAATTGACAAACTGAATGCTTTCCAGAGTTTGACCCTAGTGCATTGTTAATTTCTATGTCGTCTGCATACAAAAAATATGGTATCAATAATTTACCAGGATATAACTCACATTTCTTTTGCCACAAGTCACCTTGAATAATACTTGTAAATTTATCATATTTTTAAGCTCTTCCATGTTATTGATCATTTTCAATATCACGTCGTCTTTTTATACCCGAGCGCACTTGTGCACAAGGGTATTATAACTTTGTTCACATAACGGTTGTTTGTAACAGGCAAAACGAATCGATATAGACATAGACAAATGTATACATAAATGATCAGAATGAAAAGAGAAATCGATTAAGCGGTGACTGTCTGTCCGTCCGTCCGTCTGTGCACACGATAACTCGATTAAAAATTGAGATATATTAACGAAACTTGGTTCGTGAACTTCTTTTGGGCGTAGGACAGACAGTATTGAAAATGGGCGAAATCGGACAATAACCACGCCTACCTGCCATATAACGGTAATTTTCTGAAATGCGAAAACTGCGATATTTTAGTAACTACTGAAGATATTTCACTCAAAATTGATATTTACAATGAGTTTCAGACGGAAAACAAGAGTATTATAAATTTTTGGAAAACGGGCGTAGCCACGCCCACTTATGGTAACATGTGTATATATCCTGGTAACCGCTGCACCAATTTCTTCCAAACTTAGCACAGTTGTTGGCCCTGGTACAGCATACTCAATGGCCGAAAATTTAAAAAATCGGACAATAACCACGCCTACCTCCCATATAACGGTAATTTTCAGAAATACGAAAACTGTGATATTTTAGTAACTACTGAAGATAATTCACTCAAAATTAGTATTTACAATGAGTTTTACACGAAAAATAAGAATATTAAAAAATTTTGGCAAATGGGCGTAGGCCCACTTATGGTTACATGTGTATATCTTGGTAACCGCTACACCAATTTCTTCCAAACTTGGCACAGTTTTTGACCCATATAACGGTAATTTCGAGAAATACAAAATCTTCGATAAATCAGTAAATATTAAAGCTAATTTATTCAAAATTGATGGTTGCAACAGTTCTTTACCAAGAAAAATGGGCGTGGCACCGCCCACTTGTGATCACATATATGTAGGTTAGGGATATTTGATATTAGACATTGACAATTCTATTACTGACGGGGACAGGAATACAAACATGGACAACACTGACACGAACGGAAAAGAAAGAAGTTGAGAGCGCGCAAACCGAATGGAGCTAAGCGAGAGTTGAATTCGACAAGTGGAGCTAGAAAGTTGTAAAGTCGGAAAGTCGAAAAGTTGAAGTCGTAGTCGGACGGACGATTAAATTTTATACTTGAAATTAATATTTGATACTTTCACGTTACCTTAATTGCAAAACTTCAACATTTAAATAAAACAAAACTTGAATTGAATTTAACAAAATACAATTATCGATGTACTTTCATTCCTACATTTGGGGGCTCGTCCCATTAAAGTTAACACTGATGTGAAAATAGTTAATTTTAAATAAATGCCGAAATTCACGTTTTCGTTGGAAAAATTCTACTTGGCACAAAAGTTTGCGAAAATAAGACTTTTACAAAGCGCTATGTACCTTTTTGGACAATTGAGTAACGGTCGTGGTGTTCCGCTAAATAAATGTACATAGACTAATCAGAACAAGAAGCAAAGAAATGAATAATTATAATACATAAGGATATGAGTGTAAAGTACGAGAGCCCAAGCAAAACAACAAGCAATAAAAGGAAACGAGTGCAAAGAAGTAGCGAGTGATAAAGAAAACATACTAAAGAGTAACGAACAAATAATGGCAAAAAATCAAAGCAACGAAAAATCGTATAGCAACATGGATCAGTGGAATACAGTGGTGAACGTTGAAAGAACAATTCCATTTTTTGAAGGCGACAAGGGAATGTCAATTGATATGTGGATTAAAAACTTCGAAGATAACGCCGAAGCGTACGGGTGGTCGGATATTCAAAAATATGTCTTTGCAAGAAATAAAATAATAAAAAGTGCGGATTTGTTTTTAAAAACAGTATCAGTGTATGACTACGAATCATTGAAAACGCTGTTGATTGAAGAATTTCGACGGGACTACAGTAGCGCGGAGATACACGAGCAACTAACTGGACGAAAAATGAAAGAAAGTGAGAGTATTCACGAATATATCTTGAACATGCGGCAAATCGGGTCTCTAGGTGCGGTCGTCGAGCGGTCGATCATCCGGTACACAGTAGATGGTATTTGGGGTAAACCTGAAAATAAAATCGACAATACGAAAGTTCGAATCAAAACCAAAAGTCTTGCGTTGTTTTAATTGCGGTTCGGCAGACCATAAAAGGAACGAGTGTAAAAGTGGACAAAAATGCTTCAGGTGCAATGAAAGCAGGCATATTTCAAAAGACTACAACAAAAATCCACGCAACAAAAACGTAAATGGCACGATTAACGACAATACGAAGAAATTAGTTTCACGGAATGGCAATAAGTCTGAGTGCTTAATTGACGGTGGTGCGGATGTGTCGTTGGTGAAAAGTAGCGCTTTCAAAAAGCATTTTAACATAGAGAAAATTAAAGAATACTCAGCAAAAAGAGTGGGCTGCGGTGGGGCCATAACAATTCCAATCGGACAATTTGTTTGCGAATTCGAAATTGATGGGATTACACTTGAACATTGTATTGTAATAGTTCCGGATTCGAGCATAAACTGCGATGTTGTGATAGGGTACGCAGTGTTAAGAAAATTTCGATATAGCTCAGATGAAAACGAGTACACTTTTCGCTCGATAATAACTGAAAACGATGAAGTACGCAGAGTGATGAACATTGACATAATAAATACGAATAATCAAATTGTCGCGCCGGAACGTTACAAAACACAATTTCGAAGCATGAAAAATAGCTACAGACCCAGCAAAAAAGTGGAAAGGCCAGTTAAAATGCAAATTGTTCTGGAAAGAGAGGATCCTATATACGCATCACCAAGTCGCTTACCTCAAGTGGAGCAAAAAATAGTTGAAGCTCAAGTCAACGAATGGTTAGCAGCCGGCATCATTTCAAAATCTTCATCGCAGTACAGCAGCCGCGTCGTTCTGGTGAACAAAAAAGACGGGTCTAAGAGAATGTGCATCGACTACCGTAGATTAAATAAAATTACTTTTAAAGATCCTTTTCCCGTTCCTAATATGGAAGATGTTATCGACAGTTTGGTAGGAGCATCGGTTTTTAGTGTGTTGGACATAAAAAGCGCATTTTTGCACGTACCTGTCGAAGAAGCTAGTAGAAAATACACGGCGTTCGTAACCCAACAAGGCATGTTTGAGTTTAATTTTGCCCCGTTTGGTTTTTGCAATTCGCCGGCAAATTTTATAAGATTTATTGACACCATATTTAGAGATCTAATCTATGAACAAATTTTACAAATTTACATGGATGATATAATTGTTTATTCGAAAGATACAGAAACCGGTCTAGCAAGTCTTAAACGAGTTTTCAAAGTGGCAGCAGATAATGGTTTAGACATAAATTGGGAAAAATGCAAGTTTTTACAGCAACAAGTAAAGTTCTCGGGTCTAATAATTGAAAGTGGCGCTATAAAACCCTGTGATGAAAAGATAAAAGCTGTAGCGAACTTTTCTCAACCGCTAAATGTTAGACAGCTTCAGTCATTTTTGGGTCTCACAGGTTTTTTCCGAAAATTTATAAAAAATTACTCGATTATTGCAAGACCCTTAACGAACTTACTTAGAAAAAACTCTAAATTTGTCATTACCGAAAGTGAGCTGCAGGCAATTCAAGCCTTAAAGAGCGCATTGATTCATCAACCAGTATTAAAGATTTATTCGCAAGAAGCAGAAACCGAATTGCATACTGACGCGTCGAAG